TTTTCAAACCATAAGTGTTCGGACATCAAAATAAAAAGACTGTATCAGGAAGACTATTGCATGAATGAATCTTGTTTCAATCTTTACAGTTGAATGGCACAATCACAAAATAACCACATTGACAATCGTAGAAACAAGCATGGATGAGCATTCCCATAACTCAACAATGTCTTATTTCTATGCTGTGGTGCTTTCAGCAATGAAATCATGTGTCATGTGGTCCCAAGAATGGCCATGCATATTCATCTAGGTGAATCTTGGCACTATGAAGAAGTTGGAACCATCAACGTCAAATTTTGATCAATATGTCAGGATGGAGCAAGAAAAGAGTCCCCAGCAGATGCCAATGAAGACAAACTCTCACCTAAAGAGGTTAAACATAGGACGAAATCCACGGGTATCAATTGGGATGTCCAGCGCAAGAAGGAACTCACCAGTTTCTCAATTCATTGATTTTATGTTATCTTTAGGTTTCATACGCCTAGCGAGTTGTATGTTTCTGTTATTGGCTCCTGGTGAGCTTAACAAAACTTGAAGTTTGCCAAAATTATTTTTGGATGTTTCAAGGTTCTGTTTTTGGATACTTCTACCCTTCAAGACTTGAGGTGGGTTTTCTCTAAGCAGGGAGAATGATGTAGAATCTTAGACAGGATTTCTAGTTTTTTAAGATATTGCATCTCAGCTAATTTACAATTTATTGTAATAGTAAACTTTATTAAGTTTTTAGTAGCTTTGGGATTTTATTCTAACTAATTCACCGTCATAATTTCACTGTTGAGATAAGCCATGAGTGAACAAATGATTCTGAGACTTCTCCATACTGCTTGATGCAATCATATCTTTTGATGCTCAGGAACCACTTTGTTTAGATATCATGTCTAAGAAACTCGAAATGCAATTTCTAAGTTCATCCCAAATTCCTAAGAAGGCAAATTACCCTTAGTTCTAGATAAAAATGCTCTCCTTCCTATCATCGTGTTATGAAATTAATGGCAGAGAATGTCCATCAAGAAGCATATTTACCCTGTTTCTTTAAAAGAAAATTCCTTCAGTCTTCTAGCCAACTCTATTTCAGTAGCAGCACCACCAGGTACTATCCGACTGTCCCTGCACATGGCCTGAGTAAACAAACCATTCAGAAAATGCAATCATAGAGAGGAACCAAAGCAACATGCATTTGAATAACAGAAAAAACTGATATTTAACATCTATCACCTTATATGTATTCACTCCATCATCAACTGCTCTTTCAAGGTCATCTAATATGCTATCAGTACTTCCCCGCAAAACCACAGTAGAAATAGAGTTTCCACCTTCTTCATTTCTCACAATAGTAACCTACATGACATTATTTTCAAAGGAAATACTACATGGTTAAAAGCCAAAACATAAAATGAAAGATAAAAATAAACAAAATGGGAACCAATGATTAGCCCCAAATTCTTTAACATACCCTTGAACCACCAATTTCCTCAACTGATATTGAATCAACATACCCCAAGTCATCTGGGTTTGGTTGGCTAAGCTTCAACTGTCAGATGAATAATGAGTATTAGAAACCAAAAAAGCAAAAGAAACAA